GGTTTAATTAAGAAGGTACGGTTTGAGCTTTATTGTGCCCTAAAAATCTAATGTTTTCAAAAAGTCATGGAATTTATGAGTATGAGTTGAGTATATGAGTGTGACAAATCACGAAAGAATACGGCTTGCAGGAGGACCGTTCTGGAAATATGGCTTCATTAATTTGGTATATTTCTAAGTTTTTAACAGAAAAAGCCTCAAATGACTCATTTCTGGGGTTATTTTCCTTCAAAAAATAGTGTCCACAGCCGTCGCCCACTGCAATTTTTGAATTTGTTGTGTAAAATCCCTTGAAAAAACAAATTTCTGAAAATCTTTGTGGGTGATGCTTGTGCTCTATATTATCTGAGAGAAAATTTCACAGAAGATTGATGTCTTCTGCAGCTTTTTAAGAAAAAACGGGAAAATGCACAAGTTCATGATGTCGATATAAACCTTTAAGGTATTTCCACCCTCCTGTGATGTCATAGGTTTTTGCAAAAACTGTTATTGATTTAAATTAATACCCCATAGAAATATATTTTTTGGAAGAATGCTTTTCAATGGATGTAATAACAAATATTGTTTAGAACACGAATCAAAAAGTTGAATATTTTCTATTTTTAATCAATTATTTAATCTTTTAAAAATGTTGCAAAGGGCAAAAACCTCTTCTCATGTTTCCATATTCAGGCATTTTCCTTCTTGTACTTCTAATGTAAAATGGTTTCCATTATATTCACAATTCAAACATATTTATAAAGAAGCAATTATTTTGGAACTTTCAGCATGACAATTATGTATTTGAACCAGTTTTTACATTATTTTTATAACACTGTTTACTTAAAATGTACGTTTTTTTAATGCTGATACATGCTTCTGTTTATTTATGTCTTACATCTTAAAGAATATGGCAACCTATATATTTTTTGCGATTAATTATTAATTTAAACTACATTCAGTGAAAATAAATACAGTTTTTCTTCTTTGAACCCATAAAATTGCGAGTATGGATATACCTGAAAAGTCATATGAGAAAAAAGATTTGTATGTTCTTACTGCATGGAATTTCAACGACTCAGAAAGCATGAGTTTTAATTTCCTACATCTCTTTCATATTTTAGAAAATATTGGGCAAGATTTGTATTGAAAACGTAACTTGTTCTTTTACTGCACATTGTGTATACTTTACAACGTCATTGAAAAAAATTAGTGTAAAAAGTGTTTCATCAGATGAAACATTTTCAACTCCTTGACGGTAGCAATATGTTTGTATGATTTTCACAAAAAAAAAGCTTTTTCGATGCAGTAGAAAAATACTGTCTTTAAAAGGTTACGTATACCTGTTTTACCTGGTTCTTACACTTAAACCATTAAAAGGAATTCCCTCTGAGCATGCGCCATTTCATTTATAACGCAAACAGGGCAGATAGGAGAACTGTGGTATCAATGATACCAGGACATCAAGGTTAGTTACATTACATTTAATAAACTTATTTTGACTTCCAATTCCAGTGAATAATATTGTAAAAAAAAAAAAACCCTCAGAAAATCTGTGACTGCATGGTTCACTGTAACCTCCAGTTGCACATTACAAGAGTTATATACGTTTTTAATTAAGGTCTTATGAAAACAGGGACATTCAATGAATTTATCTTAAAATACATTTTCGCCTGCAGTTTCTGCATGATTTCAATAAGATTTAAAACGATTAAGGGCTTTATCAAGATACTCAGATATTGTTCATTTTGATTAAAACTGTTTCCACTTGTACTAAATTCAGAATAATCTGATAGGTCGAACTGTATCTCCTTTAAAAAAATTGCCTAATTTCTTTGGTACTTGTACAAAAATCTGGTGAAAACTACATTAAATCACACACATGAATTTTATTCATAAATAAATCAAGTTCCTTCTTGTTTTGTTCTTTTCTTTTTGAGAACTAAACCTGATGTAAATTTAGATTTTAAGATTTGAGGTATTGATTAATATTCTCTCTTAAAATTCATAAATTGCCAGATTGACTCAAACCACCCCACCTCCAATCCCAACCCTTCATGCATTCATTTTTCCCACTTATATTTCTTCATTTTCGTTTGTCACTTTTTCGCCCATGGATTTATGCAATAAGACAGGATCGATTTCTTCTATTGGAGATTTGATCAATGCATGAATTAAGCAATTGTCTGCATTTTATGCACAAACCATTGATTATGTCTGCATTTCAACTGCGATCGATAGTATTAATTAGATTTGACTAGGAAGGGTTTAAGTAAAAAGAGAGTTAAATAAATGAAACGAAATTGTTCATGTTTGTTATGTATTGGTGTAACATGTATCATAAATGTCCTGTAAACATCTGATACATCATAGATACATGTAAACTATATCTTCACTTCTCCTTCGTAATTCATCATTTTACAAACACAATAAAGTATAGACACTCAATTCCTAAACCTGCATTAAGCATTATTTACTATTTTCATATTATTTATGCACTTCATATTTGTTCACCAGTAGGAAATATGTTTCATCATTGTTCTAAATCTAAAGAAGAATACCTGCACATTTAAGTGTAAAATATAAACCGTCATCATATATTTTTCAAGTTGATTTTCGAATCGAGGTATACCTTGAATGTTTTAATTTTATATAATGTTATGAACTTTAATATTTCATCTGAATTGTACGCATGGTAAAGAATTTTTCACATAAAATGTGAATATTTGTTCGGTTATCCCTCAGCTTCTCTTATTTATGTAGCAATAAACCACTATGACCTACATTAAGTATTCATGTCTCCCGATAGATTGGATACGCAATAACATCTGCAGCTATTGATTTCTAAAATTCACTGTTCGTTAACTTCACCTTTTTCATTCAGATTGCATGTATGACATTGATAATGAGGGAAATACAAGTCAACATGTGGCGAATGAAGTGTTCGTTGCAGTGACCTTGTTTGCAATATGTTGTTGGATGGAATGTCTTACAATTGTTTTGCCATTGTTTCCATATTGATTGCTCTCTTTTACCAGATCTTTTTATTTAACTTACACATTTTACATAACTAATGAGTAGGTAACGAAATCTTGTATACATATATTCCTCATAAATCCTTTTTGTACAAAACTGCATAATATTCAGGTAGAAATTGGTTGCTTTTTTTCAAAACGAAAATAAGGGATATTTTTGCTGCTGATGAAAAAATATTGCATACATAAAGATTAAATGTGAAGACAGCGATCAGTAATTATGCTCTATAAACCAATTAAACATTACAAATTGAGAGAAGAGCAAATAAAGGCGCCAGAACATAGAATAATATAAGTGGCCATGGAGAAAAAAGGATCCGTAGTTTACCCGCAACACACGAGTCATTTGTCAGTCAGAGTAATCCATAGTCAATTCAGCGTGAAAATAATGGCCTAAAACGACAGTCAACATTTGTACTAATGAGAAACAAAGTTATTTTATCGACATAGAATGTGTGAAATGTTCGCTTTAAGCGAGGTTGTTGATACCCTTGTTACATCAAATTATTTATCAGTCGCCTGCCTTAACATACTCTTGTGTATAGCTCGCTCCTTGATCGGAAGGTCGTGAGTTCGTATCTCGGTCGCGACTGACCTAAGTCGACAAAAAATACTAGTAGGTAGCAACTGTTCTTTCGCCAAGCGCTCGGCACGTTGAAGTGAAAGTTGCGAGTCATTTGGATGAGACCTAAAAAACCGAGGCCCGGAGTCACGGCAGGCGTTGGCACGCTAAAGATCTCTCACTGCTCAATGGCCCTGAGTGCCGAGTAAAGGTCTAAATTTGAAGCCTTTACCGGTATATGGTGACGTCTCTATATGAGTGAAAAATTCTCGAACGGGACGTAAAACAACATACAATCAATCAATCAATCAATCTTTTGTGTAGATTTAACCTGAAAAATAAAATGCCATATATGCAAATTATTATGGTTATTTGCTACATTAATAAGGGAAATTGATAACAGAAAAGTTGATGTCAACGCGTTTGTCAAAAAGTTTATTCGTTAGTTTGCCAGCAATGTCATTCTCTAGTAAAATATGGAAAAGACTTGTCATACTCAACAGTGTGTTGGAAGACCTGGTCTGCGAAAACTACAAATATGGTGTCAATGAGGAACTCCAGCTTCTTTTTAATATCAACTTCAGAGATATTGTGTGAAGAGTGAATTTTAAGAATTTAGTTTTGTAGATGACCAATCACAAGATAAGATTCATTTTGAATGAGCAATTGTTTATGATATCAAAATTTATCGATAAATTTTAATCAAGTATAGACACGTCTTACGTTTCGATGTAATTGACTTTTTAAAAAAAATATTATGAATATGATACTTAATGTTGTAACAGTTCTTTGGAGTTTTTGAGAATCCATATTTGATCGTGCTTCTTGTTGATGCCATAAAACAAAGAAAGTAATATGTGCCACTTTATTTCTATACGACCTTGATCTTTGAACTTCAAAAAGGATACATATGTTTTAGTGGACTATGAAACATTTTCAGTCTACACTTAAATATAGATGTGCATTACAAAAAAAAATCGATTCCAGAATAAATAATACCGTGAATGAAATGGTGTTTGTCTTGCTATTAAACTTGTCAGACACATGTCAGTAAAAAAAGTACTAACTACTTCTTTTCCGGTCTTCTCAGAAGAAAACTTGTTCATGTAGAATGACTGCAGAAGTAGACAACGATATGATTGTAAGTTAAATTTAAATGTTTTTTTCACCCCGTGAATAGTTTTATTTAAAAAAAAAACAAACAAAACCATATACACCTCACTCATAACATTTTCAGAAGACCAATTCTTCAAGCACATCATTAATAGAGACGACAGGTGATGATGTAAGTATTTCATTTATGTTAAAAGTTTTGTTTAAGTAAATAATTTTTTTTCAAAACAATTTTTTTTATCTTTTCTTCTCGTCATGAACTGTCCAAATTAATTTTGAGTTGGTCTTTACAAAAGTACACAAGAGAATTTATGTCGAATGCAGAGGAACAAAAGCAAGCGGCCCTTGAAGCGTTAAAAAATCGCATCGGGAGAAGGAAAGAAACACCATTGACAGTAGCTGTAATTGGGGCACCCGGAGTAGGAAAGTCTTCCTTCCTCAACACAATGATCACCAGCATAACTGGAGAATATCGAGAGTGGGCCAGGACAGGAGATTCTGGTGGAACTGGAAAACCAATCACTTATCGTCTACAATGGCAATTACTTTTACAATTCTTCTTTTAAATTTTTAATTTAATCATGATCAGCTGGAGATTTGCTCAGTATTCTAGCAAATCAAGATACAAAGCACAACCAGCAGTTTTAAATGTTTTGTCTTCTGCATTCTGGATTTTGAATCTGCTTTACATCTTAAACGTTATTAACTTCGGAGAGCTTTCTGACAATTTAACCTAAGTGGCATACAGTACAAAGTAAATTTTTAGGTGCACTTTAGTTGCCTTTTGTTCTTGCAGTGTGTAAAATACATCAGGTTTTGATTGTGCATTTGCGTAGATTTCAGTCTTGTTAGGATATTTTGATTTGTTTTTTAATCAGAATATGTAATCGTAATTCAATCAATTACGCAGTACATTTGTAAAATGATTGATTGATTGGTTGTATTTTGTTTAACGTCCCTCTCGAGAATTTTTCACTCATATGGAGACGCCACCACTTGCCGGTGGAGAGCTGCAAATTTTTGTCAATTACTCGGCACTTACGGCCATTGAGCAGTGAGGGATCTTTTTCGTGCCAGCACCTACTGCGACACGGGACCTCGGTTTATACGGTCTCATCCGAAGGACCGGTCTCCACGTCCCACAGTGGGATTCGAACCCGCGACGTAAGGATCAACTCCTTACTTCGCGACTCTAGAGCAGACGCTCTAACCACTGCGCTACGCGGGCGACATATTTGTAAAATGAAATGCATTAGATAATAGTTATCGGCGATATTTAGTCTGCAAATGTGCTTATAGTTAGAGCTCCTCCATGGCACCTGATCCCATCTGTGATGTTTTATAGAGGTTCGAGTTTGTTCTGCTCTAAATTTGTATTTTTTTTTTTATAATAGACTTTGAGATTGATTACTGGTCGTTATCTTTGTATTTCATCTCCAGCTGTTACATTCTAGCATTTACAAAGTCATGTTCATGACCAAAAAGGGGATGAATTCCCTAATACTAGCTTTATTGAACGGGTATTTTGAAAATCTTTGGAATTCACCAAATGTAATTTAGAAATATATATGTAAAAAATAATTTTGGGTTTGATTTTGTCTTCTTCTCCATACATGTATGCTACTCAGAATTTTATTTTCTCTATAACCCAAGATCATAGAGTTTTGTTGAAGCCAAGAGTAAATATTTTTCTTCATTCATATCCGAGAGTGCAAATTTCAATTCACATTTTGTAACAGATATGAAGTATATCTCTCTAAAATATCTACTCAGTTTAAATCCATATGACTTTTAATGACAGAGGAATAATTATGGTATATGTACCATTGCTAATTTTAAAGCCAAGAATATTGCTGTGTAGGAGTCTTTATCAATATGTAGATAAATGACGTTTCAAATTATAAATCATAGGTCTATTAAAAAGTCAATAAGCAGCTCGGATAATACAGATGAGCTACGAATTAACTTGAGTAATTACTATAGTAAACTTGTAAAATTAGCTAGTCAAACAAACTTTTAATTCTTGTTAAAGATTGAACAATAAGAAGTTAAAAGTTTCCTAACATAAGTCATCACGGTCAATTACATGTATAGCAGTTTTCTCATGAATTCCTATACTTGAAACTACAATTATGTCTACTTTGGTAAAAGATAGTGAGAATTTTTCTTTCAACAGAAAACGCATCTCAAGCATCTTTTGATAGTGAACAAAATTACAGCCAAATCATGCCTTTGAAATGTCAAATGTGTAAAAAACCTTCTTTACTCAAAGTCAGGGTTCTTTATTCATATGTTGTTTGTTTGATTTTAATAATAATTAGGTAGAATTCTACCAAGGTTTTAATATTTTTGACCCTGAGCCCAGAGTTCATCCCCTAGGATTGGAATCAGTTGGTCATGTTTTGAAAATTTATCATGAGTCTATCCTTGAAAATCTTTCTGGACATTAAGCAAGCAAATATTAGTCATGGTGAAAGTAAGCTATTTGCCCTTTACCAGTGAAAAATATGCCCCAAGAGCTAATGTCTGAGGGGCTAATCGTTTGTAAAAATATATATTTTTTTAATTTATTATCGATGGAAAAACTTTGATAATATATATACACGTGATGAAATTCAAGTTTTGTATAAATGTGTCTTGCTTGATTTGCGGTGTAGGCTACCTGTGACAAAGTATGAAAGCATCGTCGACGATAACACCCTGGAATATAATTTTCCAAACTTCTTGGATATAGCAGGATTTGAAGATACTGATGATGAAATGACACAAGAGCTTCTAAATCTCATATTCTATGGGAGAATTCCATATAACATACCGCTCTTTAAGGTTGCAGAAGATATCAGGTGATTAATTGTTATGGATCAAAGCACTTGCTTTGCCGTATTAAATTTTTGCACTAAGGTAGTCCGATCCTCAGATTATGAAACTCAGCAGTTAAATAGTTGAAAATGTTCACAAATATGTATTTAAATTCACAAAGTAATATGTATTCACCAAAGGAAAATCTTTAAAGTTCATTATTAAATTAATGATATTATATAGCTAACATTATTAAAGATCTAGGTTCACTTTATGCATAAAATGGCCCTGTAGATATACCAATTTATTGACTAACACTTTATGTTCCATTTTAAACATCAAGATAAAGTAGAGACTTAGTGCTTTCATTTCCTATTAAAAATTTTCTCCTTAAAGCCAAGGTCTTGGAAAACAAGCTTTATGGAATTGCAATGTTCTTGAATTTTAAGGAAAACAGGTATATTTAAGTACTTTCAGAGAAGAAAAATAATATGAGCGCACCCTCTGATCTAAAAAATAAAACATGTTTTGTAATCCTCAGAAACGGTTCTATCAGTAAATAATTGCATATTTTAGATCAGAGATTGCGCTCTATATTAAATATCGAAAAATATCTTAAATATTGGCTGTTTTTGTAGAATTGTTCAGGATATGAGGAAAATGACGCATTTCATGACGTCATAATGCATTGACTAGCCAGAAAATTACGTCATTTTTGGTAGATTCGCAATCGCCAAATGTCTAAATAAGATTTAATGCATTGTCAAATAAAACTAAGCAGTTTCAGTTTTTCAGAAATTCACAGGGCCAAAAAAGGCCCTAAGTGAACCTTGTTCTTTTTAATATATTTCCAAGAAACGTGAATAAAAGCAAAAATATACATATTCTAATTGCAAATTGATCAGCAAATATATCATAGGATGAAAACTATAGATACTTAGGGATTCAGAAAAAATGTATGGTTTTTTTTTTATACTTACACGGTATTTTAAATCTTTTATTTGGTTTCATTCATATAATACATAGCGTAAAAAGCTTGTGCAATCATTGCAAGACATTACATATTATTTTTAATTCCATATCATGCTAACTCTAAGGCTAAATTAAAGGAAATTCAATTTGTCTTAAAATGTGTGTTCATGGTATACAATGTCTATTTTTGCAAAACCTTTTCTGACTTCAAAGAACGTTGAATCATATTAAGATGCATGAAATGAATATTCTTGCATAAAAAGATCTCGATTTCAAGTTTCATTAGATACCTTTCGAATAAAAAAATAACTTCAAGAGTTATCCTTCATGGCTGAGGAGCGGATATCCTGATGTTTTTAAGGTATACAGTGGCGCCTCGTTAATCCGGACGCCTCCGTCCCCAACGAAATCGTCCGGATAAATGAATCGTCCGGATAAGTGAATCACTTCTTAAAAGACGTACCCTCTCAAAGCATGTACATATGAACATAGTGGTATCAAATGTGAAGGCAAAGAAAACACCTTTATTTTACCTTGACTTATTGATTTAATTTTTTTAATTTTAAAAGAAATAATCAATATTTAAAAAAGAAAAAAAATTAAAATGTAATTTACACAATGAAAAATGGATAGGCAGTTTTACGGTGAGACTTCCTTTTCTAACACAGGAAACTTTACTCGCCTTCTATTTGACTTGTAGTTACATGGGGATGACCAAAATTTGATCTGCTACTGTTATAATAATAAATGAATAAAAAAAATAACTTCAAGAGTTATCCTTCATGGCTGAGGAGCGGATATCCTGACGTTTTTAAGGTATATATTATATTTATCATGTATTAGTTTTTATGAATTATGTTTTCATTACAGAAAATATGGACGGTGGTACACTGATGCGAAATATCCAGTTACCCCAGAAAGTAAGAAGATCGACAGGATAATTTTCATTGCTTCAGCAACAAATCCTAATTTACCGACACAACTCATGAAAGCTGTATCTTCAGTACAGTGGAGAAAAAGAGGTGATACTTTATACATGAATTAGCTCCCGACTGACCTTAGACAGGAGTTGTGGGTGTTTATTAGTTAGACACATTGCATTTAAGATGGTCTTCTTTTGTCTCTAAAACCATGATCATCTCTGTACTGTGTATTTTCGATACTCAGCTGACTTTCGATATTTCGTACTCAAAACATGAACAGAAATAAATTTTTTCATACTTTTTCAGATATTCCACTATTTGGTGTATTGACAAACAAAGATAGAAGGACCGAAAATGAAGAAGATTTTGATCAGTTTGAGACTAAGTTCAAAACAACGCTTGGGCTGTCTCATTTACATTATTTTCTTTGCACGAATTACTGTGATGATAATATAGAAGAAATTCGATCAGGGACAGCAAAGAACAATCCAGAATTAGACGTACCTATTCTGAAATTCTTGAAACAGGTTGAGTATAGATATTTCTATTTTACATCCTATAATTTCTAATCCATAAACTATTTAACAAATTATATAGTCAGTCGTCAGCTTGCCTTACTTATGTAGCAATACATGTATACCCTTATCTCCTGCATATGGGGATTTTGTCTTCCAGTTGATTCAATACGCAAGAGCATGCTCTTTTCTTAAACGAGGCAAACTATTGACAAACAAGTTGATGAAACAAGGATATCAACAGTCTCGTTTGAAGTCATCATTTCGCAAGTTTTATGGCCGATACAATGACCTTGTCAGCAAATACAACCTATCATTAAGTCAAATGATGACTGACGTTTTTCATATTAATTACTAGGCCATTATTTACACACTGAATTGTCTATGGATTATCCGTTTTCCCGATCATGACAAGGAGCACACGGCGGGTGTGATCGGTCGGAAGGGGATGATCACTCCTCCATGGTACCTGACCCCACCTCTAATGTTTTTGAAGGTCCGTATTTGCTCTGCTCCTGATTTGAATTCTGTTCGTTATCTCCATATTTCATGCAGTTCTATGATTTTTTAGAGGAATTAATGTTTATGATAATCCTTGAAGATAATGTAACATGGAAGAAACAATACCCGACTTTTCAAGAAATTCTTAAACACAAATCCTTAAGTCCTTCATAATAGATTGGTGACAATAAATTAGGCACTTCGTTAGATGTTCGCCCTTCGCTATGATAGTCAGGGACGTCTGAAAAAAAAAAAACAAACTATTGGCACCTGCATTGCAATGACTATATTTTCATCCCGTCTCCCTGGATCACGAAACCTAAATACAAATCATTATGTCACCCCGAACGAAGTCAGGTGACATTATTATTGTTTTAGCTATTTTATCCACAGGACATTTCGCAGATGGTTCAGTCGAATTTTAATGAACCTTATACTAAATTATTACAAAGTGTAGTTGTGCATGAAATGCCATAGAGAGAGAATTTTTAGCTGAGTGCTGACTTTGGCTTATTTTAGCACCCTTGCATATAAGTGCAGAATACAAGAAACATAAGTTTGATATCCGTTGTTAAACAATGTATCTTTCATCTGGTGTTGGTCTTTACTTGAACTCTTGGTTAAATCAGTATTTTAAACTTATATTAATCGTACTGAAAACTTATCTTGAAAATGAACTTTCTCTATTTTACAAGTCATGGAACTGTGTGTCCGCCACAAAAGTTCCGCCAAAATTATGGCATACCTTTGAGCAAGCAAAACGCCAAATTTTACACCCGCTTAAGAAACCAGCTGTAGGGTATTTGAAATATTTTAAAATGGAAGACACTGTAATAAAACTGAGGAAGGTTAGTTGAAGGAACATACGCTATTGCTTGCAACAGCAAAGTTTCTGGTTTTAGTTATTCTTATTTTAGGATAAACTTAATAATTACATCAATATGATTAGTAATAGTGTGGAACATTTTCTCACAATCAGGTTCTAGATCCAGTGCTGGAGAATGTTGATATTCATAGGGAGGTTGGAATAACATGGCAGAATATAGTGGAATGGTTGCACACGCTGTGGGCTGCATTACAGAACACAAATAGACAGCAGTTTACCATCATTGTTGTTATTTCACTTGTTTTGGTCGTTCTGACCTTGTTATTGTTTTAATCTATATATTACGGAAGCCCAATAGTGCAAACCAAAAATTATAAAGAAAAACGAAATATTAGATAAAGAAAAACGAAATTATTAAATAAAGAAAAACGAAATTATTAAATAAAGAAAACAAAATTATTAAATAAAGAAAATGAAATTATTAAATAAAGAAAATGAAATTATTAAATAAAAAACTGAAACTAAAATACGGAATTTATAGATGTGCATGGTAAGGGCCTGAACCCATGTATCATTCAATTCTATGACCTGATTTTGTTTCGACATTAAAACAGGTGTGATATTTGCATTTACACTCAACTATTCCCGTATCGATAACATAGCCAGTTGGAGTAGACAATCACAATACATGAATAGGGGAGAATTTTACCCTTGGTTATCCAATATGCTTAGATCTATGTTCTTACATTAACATGATTAATGTGAACTTTGACCAGTCTGATGAATTGGCCAGTAATTCGATGACAAGTTTACGTTAACATTAGCTTTCTTAAACCCTCAGCTCAGAAGGTCTAATTATCAGCAAACAATGAATCTGGACATGAAACATCAAAGAAATTATGCTAATAAACTGCACAAATATTTAAGATATACATGTCTGCTAAGATTCCGTTGTTTACAACTTTTGAACTTTATAACATTTAGGAAATCACCATGGCTATACATCATTTTCAATTATCGCACAGTACAAAAAATGCTGTAAAATGATACGTTACCGATCATATTTTGCGGGTTTGTTTGACATTATAAAAACTGTTTAAAGAGAGCAAGTGCAAAAATTAAAGTGGTTACAATGAGTAGATTTTAATGATTGCTTACTTTATAAAAATTAAGCAAAACACTTCTAATTTCTTGGTCATTTTTATCAAAGCAAAATTAGAAGTGATGCACTAACTATTTGTTCTCACATATTCTAAATGACAAATTCTCAATCTGTATTCATAATTCAGTGATAGTTGCATGTGAACAAACAATGCTAACACTTGCATAACAAATCCCACAAAGTATTCAAATCATTCTCTTTATTGTTTCAACAACCTAAGATTTATGGGTACACAGATAGGGCGCTAGGTTTAGTTCGGGGAGGGGGGGGATTCAGCAATACGATGCGCAAGGTCTTGACCTTTCAGCAATTCATGAGCTCTTTTTGGAATGTCATTAAAAAGCAGAAACAGCCATCATGGACCTACGTCCAGGCTTACAGGCTCAAACTTTGACGTTGTGGGGATGCGACACGGCATCAAATTCCCGTAAACAAAATTGAACAGTTATGAATCATTTACTTCAAAAATGCGAATTATAGGCTGTAGGCACATAATTATTTCTACGTTTGTCAATTTGATATTTATTTTTTTTTTTTTCACTTCCCCTACACCTGTTTTAATGTCGAAACAAAATCAGGTCTATAGAATTACTAAGTGATGCTTTATAACACGTGCGCTTTATGGAATGATTAATGGGTTCAGGACATCTATTCACAAAATATCTTACGATCAGTCGTAGTCGTAAGATTGTCGTAAGTTTTTTTCTTAAGATTTTGGTTATTCACAAAAAATCGTACGTTTGACGTTACTTCAAAAACAGTCGTAAGTTTACGTCTAGTCTTTAGTTGACGTAAGTCTATAAATACTATAGATGGTATCAACTTTAAAAATGAAAATGACCACCACGTTATCTTTATCGTAAAAAATAATCAAAACGGAGCAGGAAAAAATATTTTGGGTCGGCACAGATCTGTTTGAATCACTGACCGACGGTGAAATGGTACCGTTTACCAAGAGAGGAAGTCAAAAGGGAGTGTCACCCCCGTAAAGATATATTGACAATGCAAAAAATAAAGAAAGAAAAAGAGAAAGAAAAGATAAAGAAAACAAAATGCCTGCAAAAAATTGACATGAATCAAAATTTATCAAAAAAAAATTTAAGGGGGGGGGGATTCTATTCTCTTTTCAACAAAATAATTTTTTGAAACTAAAGTTAGGAAAGTAATTTGTCAAAACTAAATTTTATAAAAGTTGGGGTTAATCGCTGGCCTTCAATGAAAACGACAATTCTCTCTCTCTAAAAAAAGGGGGGATACTATGAATTAACGCAACCTGTCCTGGGGCCAATTTATTGTCTGATTGCGAATATTGATTACACTTCAGATCGAGTTTATCAATAGAAACAAATCTCGAATTTATTAAAAATTTTCTAATTGCTAGATCTAGAAAAGAGGCCTTTGAATAAATATTGAACATTTTCTAGCCAAAATTGGCCTTTTATTAATGTTTAACATGTTCTTTTTCTCTAAAAAAAAATATGACTTCACACCTCTGATTTTATTATTAAGCATTTTGTTAAAAAAAAACACTGCGATTTGATTGTTGTTTTAAGTGTTCGTATTCCAGACTTGATTTCTCAGTATGACGCTAAAAAATTGAATTAAATTTTGAATCAATACTTAATTTAACAAGAGCGCTGTATAGCATAACATCCCCTCGCAAAAGAGCACATCGATCCTGATATGAATTTATTACTTGCTTAACTTCCGGTATGCACGCACTCACTCACCTACTCCCCCCCCCCCCCCCCCCCAAACACACACACATACAAACACACACAAGAAAGTTACTACATCCTCTCAAACTTCATATTTTTTTCAAAGGAAAAACAATTTTACTTTTTTATATTTTCCTTGAATTTTTTTATTTTTATATTTCTAAGTTAAATACATAATTTGTTGTTATTAAGTTTTGAATATTGAGCATATTGAGTTTTTAATGTTCCATGTTATGCGATATAAGAGACGCTGCTATAGATTGAATCATTAATCAATGTAAATATATTTGAGCAGTGATCATATGAATGGTTTCCAAGATATAGCTGAATGGAAGTGTCTTACTTTACATCTATTATTGTTTACCTACAACTTATAAATCACCCTTGCTGCAGTGAACAAAAACGTTAATATTGATTTTCATTTGTTATTATAATATCAGTCTTGCTGCAGTGAATTTATCAAAAACGTTAATGTTGATTTTCAAAATTTTCTTTTTGTTAACAAACAATATGGCATAAAATATAATAATATATACGAATGAATCGGAACTGAGACAACCCGTAATCATGGTATTTTTTGGCGACTTTGCGTAGTTAATTCGTTCGCGTTCAAGATTGCGTCATCGGGTTTCCCGCATTAATTGCTTCATCTGCGCATGAGCAGTTGTCGGTAACTAGGGAAGAGAAAATCTTATCATCGTTTTTCACTTACGACAATGTGTCGATCTTAAGACCACTTTCATGAATAGCTCGTAACTTAAATCTTAGGATTATCGTAAGTTCAAGCCGCAGTAGTTAACTTACGATTTTTTGTGAATAGATGTCCAGGCCCTTACCATGCACATCTATAAATTCTGTATTTTAGTTTCAGTTTTTTATTTAATAATTTGGTTTTCTTTACTTAATAATTTCGTTCTCTTTATTTAATAATTTCGTTCTCCTTATTTAATGATTTCGTTTTCTTTATTTAATAATTTCGTTTTTATTTTTTGATTTTTTTTGGTTTGCACTATTGGGCTTCCGTAATGTATGGCTCTGGCCTTTGTGCTTGTACATAGCAAATTCTAATGTGGAAATTGCCAGTGCTATTGAAAGAAATACCATTAGTGAAAAACGGTTATAAGACGAATTGATTTTTTCTTATTTCCTTGTGTATCATTCAAGAAGACTGATAAAGTGTTTAACTATATTCAAGTAATTTGATTAAATATGAATAATTAATTTCTTTTATGTTGCTTTTTTACTTCACGGTTGCCGCTTTTTTTTGTCATTGCAATTGGTTTATCTTATTAGAATCTTTATCATAATACACATTTCATCTTCCATATCCAATAGCAGTTTTATTTAAATCAAAATAATGTGCATTTTACCTTAAGCTTCTTTTTCTAGGCTAATTTTATGTACACTGTATGTAAAAAGGTGTATATTAGGGTCAAGATCCAGTAAATGAAAGGTGCCTACAGATTTCTCAAATTTGAGAAACAAGTTCTTGTAATGATCCTTTACAAATACATGTATAGCTTGATAAAATAAGGTGCATCGGGACATAATTTTTTGGTTAACTGAACGAAAAACATTTTTAACCTGACATTTTCAATGAAAAATGAAGGAAATCAGGTATAAATTTCGGAGTTTTTTCCAACTCAGAGAAAGGAAATATATCCAGATTGCCTACAGTCTCCCAGAAAACGTTTTTTAATATCTTTTTGACCTCTGCTTTAAAATAATATTAAATTTGATATAGGTATCGGGATTACTTTTATCTAAACTCATTTACTAGATCTTGACCTTAACAAGTGTTGACTTAAAATCAAATTATACATGAAGGAGTCAATGGATACTCCCAGGCAAAGGCCTCAAGGCTGGAGTTACTGATCGCATAGAAGGTGCTAACACCTCTTTGATGTTTAATTCCGTTACTCTGTGTTTCAAGAGATCCGTGTTTGTCCTGCTCTTATTTTGAATTGTTTTTTAAATTCTGAACTTGATCGCCGTTCGTTTTCTTTAAATTTCTTCTTCAGTGTTCTAAGTAATTAATAGCAGGGAGACTTACTTTTTTGCGTGGATTTTGAAAAATATCAGCATCACCGTGCACTGTGTATACATGATGTAATTATTTATTTTGTATCATTTATTCACGTTTATTACACTTGCAAATATATATATATATATATATATATATATATATATATATATATATATATATATATATATATATATATATATATATATATATATATATATATATATATATATATATATATATAAAATTGAAAGCCATATCTCATTAACATTTAAAAAAAATTTCATACTAACGTGCTTTTCAATAACTATATATAAAAATGTAACCTTGTTCGAATGTTTCATCATGGATTATGAATTAAAGTATAGATTTATACCATTGTGTACTTGCAGCATGATTTGTATGAAAAAAAAAAATATAAAAATAAAATATACAAACTTCAATCCATCTTCTCTTAATTCGTAGAAGTCAATGTCGATATCATGTTAAC